GAGCATCCTAGATCTATAACTCATCTCTTCCCCACAGCCAGTCAGTCTTCAAATCCTGACTGCGTTACCTGCAAGCTATTTTCTCCATTATGTTCTCTTCTGTCTGTCCTGAAATCACTGTCCTACCTGATCCTCATCATCTTCTCTTTCCTGGATAACTGAGTTTCTCTCATATACTCATGTACAGATTTAGTTCTTTCCTCCCCATGTAGATAGTCATTGGTTAACTTTTCCTGCATAATGCCTGTCATTAATTATCCTTACTTTTTTTTTTCCTGTGGGTTTTCCAGAGTTATCTCTAGCTAGCCTCTTCATATAAACCTCTCCTACAAACTTATTTCTTCTCCCGACTATGCTTTTTAGACCTAATGCCTTTCCTGTTTGCCTGCTTTTTACCTTCTTGCTTGCCTCTGCCTATTGAAATCCCACCATTACATCAAAATTCAACTTCAATCCCAGCAATGCTGTAAAAACCCAGAAAACCCAAACCGGAAACCATGTGTCCCTCTTTTAAATTCTTGCAATTCCTGTCAGTTCCAATGGTTCTCAGTCCTTAAAGTATGAAGACTACATTCCTAAGTCAAAAAAAGATTCTACTGACTTCTCTTGCCTTTGACAAGACGGGGAGAAAAGGAACCACGGGAAGTTTTCCATCCTGACTGAGTGGGAAGGTGGAGCTGTCATTGGTGGAAATTGGATTCCTCTATGGGAAAGGGGCTGTGGCGATGCAGCATGTCCCAGCATGTTCCAGAGGACACTAGTGTGAGAGCCTATATGAAAATTTCTATATATTCATTTAATAATCATTAAGTTCTCTCTGTGTGCTAGGTAGTGAACAAGAGACACAGGGACCCTACTCTCAGGGACCCACAGAAGATTCCACAGTCTAATGCAGTTGGGAAACTACATACTATGGCAGCTTCTAGAGGTTCATAATGAACATTATCATATAAAAGTCTCTGAAAAGTCCCACCATTTTAAAAAAACTTTAAAGTTTAAAAAACTTTAACATAATTTTGTGTTTAGTATTATTTCCCAAAGAAATTTGGCCACAGAATCCCTCCCTTGCATTTTTCTGACAATATCTATTAATATCCCATGCAACTAGAACTCTCTGGAACAGATAATTAGGAAATGCTGTGTAAGAGCAGTCCAAATGCAGAGAAGGAAATGCTGAACCTTGGAGAGGAGAGAATATTGTTATATACTTCGGAGATGTGAGTAGAGGGGAACTCTGAGAACAACTGGAAATCCTACATAACTATTGAGAAGGAGTGTTGAAGTGGTTTGGTGGTGTGGGCAGGAAAACATTCCAAAGGTTCCAATCCTTCGAAGTGGTTTTCCTCAGACCCGAAGGAACAGACCAGAGAGTAGGAAAAGTGGCTGTTAAGTTTCCCAAACTTTCTTCTCCTGAGCCTCGCTATAGCTGTCTCCCCGGTGAGATGATACGGTTATTATGGCTAGGGAACTCTAAACTTGCTCTACCTTCTCCTAGTCTCCATTTGCCTCTGAATTTTGAGGGAAAGAAGCTCAGATAGTTGTCTCTTCTCCGTGAAGTTCAAGTGTCGGTTGTATTTACAGAAATCAAGTAATTTTGGCTACTATTGAGTGCACTAATGTTTATTTGCATTGTGGTTGCGACGGTCATATCCCATACTGCATATGGTATGGGATATGGGTAACTCAATCCTGGAGTTAATTTTACAATAAGGCAGAAGGGTTGGAAAGTATAATCTTGATGGTATACATAAAATATATTACTCTGATGGCATTTGAAATTGCATGAGCATCAAATATTACAAAGTTCACTCTATAATCTGAAAGGACGGTGCTCTTCCCCCTGAACTCACGCTTGTGGCCCTCCTCTGCACTCTGTAGATGAGACCCACTAAAGAGGCCTGCACTGTCAAAATGTTATTCACAGGCTTGAAAGAAAACAATGCACTTTTCTCATATGCTTGAAATATTTCAGAATAAGAAAAACAAAAAGTATTCCATTGAGCCTAAATGAGGTTATTATGTTCCAGAACCATTCCAAAACCATGTGTGCAGTGCAAAACTGGCTGCATCCTGTGTAATGTGAGAGCCTCATCTGCTACCACTGAAAACAGACAAACCTGGTGACACCAGTCCTCCATGGGAGCCTAATTGAGCACCAGCCTTCCTCCCCAACCTTGCGTCACTTAGTATTTCTGAGTATTTTAGCAACTAAGACAGCTAAGTTTCAGAATGTCATCTCTCAAATATATATCTTATCATAAAACTAACTCATACAGTAAAATAATCCAAAGAGTTAGAATGAATAATATATATTTTAGCATATAGTAATTTTTTGTACTTATAAAATATATAACAGAAACTTATTAGTGGAACTGTGTTCCATATTTTTTGGCCTTCCTGTAGTGTATAGAATTTTATAAAGTATTTTGATGGCTTTACCCAGATGCAATTTCTGTTGTTTTCACAACCCAAAAAGCAGTTTTAAACTCAGCAATAATCATTTAAAAGTTTTGACTTGTTTTCACTTTACACTAACAGATTTTTAGAATCTCTTGAAAGTAGATATTCTTTAGAGTATTATTCCTTTACCAAATTGCAAACACTTAAAAACATCATCTTATCGTTAGTAAGGCTCAGAGAAATCAGTTCTTTCATTCATTGTTTGTGGAAGTGTAATTTGGGACATATTTTTGAAAGTCAGTTTGGAGATACACACATATACATATGTGCATGCACGTGTGTGTTATATATGTGTAGATGTGTGTATATATACACACACATGCATGCACTCGTACATGTGTAGTTTGAGCCAATTTCCTAAGAAATTTCCTATAGAAATATTAGAAAATACTATTCATAGTTTTTTATAAGGCTGTTCATTACATTTTATAGGTGTTTATAGGTAAAAAAGTAGAAGCAATTTAAGTGCCCAAATCTAATGGGAAAGTTGAATGAATTACATTTTATTGGTACAATGGGCTATCATATATCCATTAAGTCATTTGTGGAAGAATACCAAATTATATGTTAAAGTGTTGATACATTGTAAAAACATGTTACACAATACTATATGCAGCATAAGAATGCCATGTTTATCTGTATCCAGAAAAAATAACTAGAAGAATGTCTGCCTAACTGCTAACAATGACTATGCTTGAGTGATGGACTTATAGATGGATTGTTTTTCTTACAATTTTCTGTTTCTCAAGTTTTCTGTAGTGAATGTGTCTTATTTATGAAATAATTAAACAAAATAAATGTTACATGTTTCTTGACATATTTGTACCCTTTGACCCAGCAATTCTATTTTTCGGACTATATCCTAACATGAGAAAATAAACAGATACACACTTACAGAGGTACTTACAACTATGTTCTTTCTGACTTGTTTATAGTAATAAAACACTGGAAGCTACTTGAATGTCCAACATTAGGGAATTGGTTTTAAAAAAATAACTGCATTCATGCAGTGAAATATTGCACAGTCTTTAAAATCAGATTCTTGAAAATATTTAACAAAGGGAAATGCTTACAGTATATTCAGTTAAAAGGTATATGGACAGAGAGATATGTAGACATAATTACAATTTTGATTACCTAAAAAAATTTAGAATATACATTAGTGTTTTAACAGGGCTAACCACTGGGTGGTGAAATTATTTATAGGTTCTTTTTTTCCTTTTTATAATTTTCTATGCTTTCAACATTTGTAATTTTTATAAACAGAAAGAATATGTAAACAATAAAGAAGCTTGTTTTTTGCAAGTAATATTAAGATACAGTATCTATATGAACATGATCGCTCCAAATATTTTTTCAGACTATCATTTCTACTCAGTTTATTGCTGTATTACACAGTGAGATAAGAATGTATAATATTTTATTTTAATCCCTGGGTCTCTATGACAAACAATAGGAAGAATTCTGACCAAAAGATTTGCTTTGCTCTATAAAATGCTTAAAACAACATAGGAAAGGAATATTCAGAGGGCTGGCCTCAGTCTCACTCTGAACAGTGATATAAGGTTTCTTAATCATTTACTTGTTCAGAATCTAAGTAGGCAAAGGTCAAAGCAGTTTCAAGTTCAGTGTTACCTCAGGTGTAGCCTTCCTCTCTGATGCAAGGACCACACCCACAGAGTGAAGGTTTTTTGAGTTCATTGAGAGAGTTTATGCCTTTGACAAAGCTCTAGTAATAGCCTCTGATTGAGCGACAAGGCAAGTAACCATTTGGCTAGACTCAGGGAATGCAAGTATATATACATGTATACTAGGAGGGCTGTGTCGGGGGGATATATTTATGTTCTTAATTGCTTAAGGCTTAGCATAACCATTGCATACTGCGTGATAGATAATAAGCCTGAAGAGTTATCCGTGTGCTACCACTAATGTATGGACTCAATGAGTATTTATTGAAAGCTTATCTGTAAAACATGGTTCTGGCCATATGAGATTAAAAAGACATAGTTCTACCCTCCTTCCTAAATGAAAACACAAAAACAATTGCGTGAATTTTACATACTCTCAATGTTTCTTCTCCAATAAAACAGACAAAATTATAATTGATATTTACTGATTTTCACTTAAATTTAGTGTGATATAATTTTAAAAGTTCACTTTAAAATCATTGCCACATAGCCCAAGAATATCACCAGTGAAATTTACCAGACACATGTATTTTTAAAGTTTGAGGTAGTTCATGTAAATATTAAGGATAGAATGCAGTATATTATGATTTTTCCTGATGAAATAAAGGACTTACACTGATTTTTTAGACTCCATGCAGCTCATTCAATACTTTCAAATTTTGTGATAGGCTTTGAAAATATAAATGGGCAAGAATTTTTGCTTCCCAGATGAACAGGCAGAAATGAAACCAAGTTTAGACAAAGATCAGACCATCAATATAATTGAAAGGTGGAAAGTGAAAGGGAAGGAGAAGAAATGGAAAGCAAATATATAGCTTTGGAGAAATAAAGCAAAAAAAAAAAAAATTTTACTTGATTTGTCCTTTCTCCACGTATGTTGTTCTATAAAACCCCACGAGCGAGCCGTTCAGCCAGCCGGCGAACTCCATGGTCAACTGGTAGAGACCCTTGCCACCGTTGGGTGCAAGCTCTGCTTCTGTCTCCACTACCACATACTCCTGCTTTTTGTATTCGAAGCACCGCCTGACTTTCACCTGCTCCCCAGAGGGCTTCCTCAGCACCGGGAGCTGGGTGATCCTCGTCTCCCGGAGGTGTAGCCACAGGTTCCGGGTGGGTGAGCTCACGTTGATGGAGATGTTCACGCTGCCCGTGTACGTGTCCTCCTCCAACAGGGGCTTCACCTCCAGGTCGTAGTGCACTGGGTTGATGAAGTCCGGCAGCCTGAAATCTTTCCAGCCTCCACTTTCATCTTCACTGGCAGGGCAGACCCCCTGGTCCTGTGGAGGGCTCAAAGTGGGAGGCCTCGAAGTGGGAGGCCTCGAAGTGGGAGGCCTGTGGGAAGGAGCCTGGGTTGTGCCCTGTCCTCCGTCGGTAGAGTCACACGATCTGGTCAAGCCCACGGAAAGTCCTACTATTAATCCGACACCCACCACCACCGCACAGATAATGGCCACATGTTTCCTTTTAATGCAATATCTCTTAGAGCCTTCTCCCTCCTCCAAGATCATTTTTGTTTCCAAAGTCAAATGTTACACATAAAAGGTCGTTAAATTTAACTAACTAACGTCAGCAGTCTTCCTTTTTCAATTGGAAGGAATTCCCTGGTTTGGCAGCCTGCTTTCGCCTTTCCCACACCTCTCTCTCTCTGGCTGCTTGAATCTTTTCTTCTCCCTTCACGCTCCCACTAGACACTCAAGGATGAATGTGGAATCAAGGGGGTGGAGTAAGGACTCCAGAAGAGGAGCTGAGCTGGAGGAAGAGGACTGACGAGAATATTGTCACGGCTCCTCTTACAAATAACGCATCCCCCACTCCACCCCTCCTACTGGAGTGAGTTAAATATAAAACAGGGCTTTGCTTATCAGCCAGTGGGAGGATGATCCTTTGCCAAAGCTCTGTCAGCAGCTTTCGAGGAGAGAGCGTTTGGGAAGAGGTGTGCTTGTGGTGGAAAATCTCACCCTTTGCCACTGAGTCTGTGGCTTCTTCCTGTTGTGTGCACAGTCTCTCTCTCCTAACCAAAGGGCTTTTTGCATCTCAGCTATTTTTTAGGTAGCTGTGTTTTCTTTTCATTCTTTTTCCTCATCTTATGTAAACATTCAGATTCTGCCTTTTGCCAAAGTCAGGTCCTGGAGTTCCGTGCACAGAGTGATACATAAATTCAAGGACCACTTAGGTAGTGAGTAAATATTTGTTGAATTGGTGGATTAGTAAAACATGGCCAGGCCACCCTAAATCAGTTCAGTTGATGCTGGATGAAAGAGAAAAGGAAACATAAATTAGTCAAAGCAGTACTGGAGCTCAAAAGCATAAGAAGAAAAAAGAGAGACAGAAAAGTAATGGGTTGGAAGGACAGAAGGACAAGGAAGATAAACTTGATTAACTTGTTAGGTTAAATAACTAAACTCTTAGATAATCTTGTCTAAGTGAGATTGAATTCTTTAGCCTAGAGTGTGGTAGATGACGTTTGGAGGAGATTCCAGATGCAAAGTTGGCTGTTGAAAGATCTGTTATCTGCCCAAACCTATTGCCTCTGAATGAAAAGCTCAAGATGATAGAAATCACAATAATGACTTCCATGTTTATGAGTAGCTAAGATGTATACATCCAAGCCATCTCTAATAGTAGCAGTACAATCATAAATATAAAAAATTAGAGAGCTTTCTATATGCCAGGCACTATGCTAGGTACTTCATAGAAGTTATCATTTAAGACTTAACAGCAACTCTATGAGACTGATACTATTATGATGCCCATTTTAGAGGTGGAAGGACTGACATTCAAAGAGGTAAGTCATTTGCTCAAGGTCACAGAATTGGAGCTTGAAGTCAGGTTATCTGAGTCCAAAATCCAAATATCTAACTATACTGCCTCTGTTCTCTGAAGAGGAAAAATGTTTAAGGGTTAAGTAACCATGAAAAACTTCGTCAATATTTCCCAAAGTGCAATCCATGGATAATATTAATAGATATAATTGCAAAGCAGGCAGTGCTGCGGTAGATAGAGTTAAGAATATTCTTTCACTACTTTCCATTCTTTCAGAGCTTCCAGATGGCACTACCATCACACTGTGAATCTCCCAGATAGGATATACTATTGTGTGATTTCTATATTTAGCTGATGAGAGAGTTTGTTTGGTGAGATACCTTTTGAGGGTCTTGTGTTCCCACACTCTGAAAAATCCTACTTTAAACTGTTCCAAGTTATAAATTAAACACACGGATAAAAAGAGAGGATTTTAAGAATGAAAGGGTCGACTTTGCTGTACGCATTTCTATTGTTTTCTCATAAAATAGTAGTAAGAGAAATAAAGTTAAAGGCAAGAGGGGTATATTTTTCTAAATCATAGGTTCATCTTGTTTATTAATTTCACATTCTGAAGTAATCCTAAACTTTAATCATAGTATGTTTAATTTTGGTAAATCAACTTTATGAATTTTAGCCTTGAAATCCCTTTTTTATCAGAAATATCATCTGATGTTTCACTAAATGTTTCACAGGGCAAACATTTTAATGTGTTCTCCGTAAATTAAAAGGAAAGTGTGGATCAAATTTATCTCAGCATAATGACTGAAAAAAAATGAAAAAGAAAAGGATTTTGAAGAATGTACATAAAATGATATTAAACTGGAAGCATTTTTTAAAAATCTCAGCTAAGGCAAACATATATAAAACTCTTAAACTCAATTTTGTCTAGAAAGACAGCAGTCTTATCACCAGGTCCCATGTTTGCACTAAACTGAACAAAGAAGATAATAGACCTTTGGAATAAGGTACACTTAAGGGGGTTTGAGAATGGCCACCTGCTATCAAATATCTCTCCTGTTTTACCTGAAATTCCACCATAAGGGGTTCATTATTTATAGATAAATGCAATTTTTTGCTAGCAGAAATAAAATACCTAAAATCCATGTACTTTGTGTGTGTGTGTGTGTGTGTGTGTGTGAACACGTGCATAAATTTTTAGTCTAAGGCCCAACCACAGCATTTTATTAGTACCAACCTAAAAGAGCCGCCTGTATCCAGTGAAGGGCATCACATCTTATCCATGTCAGCATATTAGGGTTGCCTGAGGTGATAGAGGTAAAACGTCCAGCCAGACAAGTGGAAGTAGCAGAGCCAGCCTGTGCACTAAACACATTTAGGGTCACCATATTAGGGTTTACTAAATATAAAGCCCCAGCTTTCATAGTTGGTAATGCTGCACTCCATTGCAGCAGTTCTTGCTGTCCTTCTCCCTGACACTGGAACACTGAGTCTGTGGCAGGAGGCTCTTGATCTTGAAGGCCCTTGTTCCAGATCCAATCCACAGTGAAGGTCAAGTTAGCCACTGGCAGGACACACACACACACACACACACACACACACACACACACACACAGAATCTACTCCTATAATGAGACCAACGAACCATCATAGGCACTCACCTAGTTAAACAGTTTATATTGATTAATCTTATGTTGAAAAATCTACATTACATGTAACTACTTTGGAAAGGCTACCTCTGGTCAGTTTCCATGTAGGTTCAAGCCAGAGGAGTGAATGCACGGCCATTCACTGTAGATCATAAACCACACTCCCCCATAGCTTTTGACAATGTGTATTACCATCTTGTACCCCAAGTACAAATCCAATATCTCTCCCATATATGACACTCAATAAATGTTCATTGATTGCTTTTTGAATAAACAAATGAATGTATAAATAAAAAGGAGGAAAAAGAACACCAAGAATCCAGAATGGGAAGGGTTAGTGGGCATAATATGCCAGAAATGTTGAGATAAAATAAATTCAGTTCAAATTGCAATAATGACTAGAAAGAAGTTCCCTGGAGGTGAGGACTTGAAAATCATTCCTGATCTTGAGAAGATAAGGAACTTCCTGGCTAATTCCTTCCCACAGCAGGTAGATTGATGCAGGAGACCCACCATGATACTGAATACACAGCATATACCTCCCTTTTTCACTTGGAGCTTCAGTTTAAAGCTCTTCTGTTAAGTCTCAGGAATTACACATACCCTTCTATGTACATGGGGTGCTATTGGCTGACCAGAGAACTCAGAGCATCACCAGAAATGTTGTCAATAACTAACACCACAATGTGATTATTTGACTGGCTCTTCACTCCTATTAGTTGATCATAGCTGAATGGTTCAGGAGAAAAAACAAAAATGGCAAGCTAGAATCACAATAGAAGAAGCAGAATCTGCAAATTGGGCTATATTATAGAAGGAACAGGGAGAATCAGAATGAGTTTCTTTCCATCTTGCCACAGGGTCTCAATTATCAACCATGTCAATTCTATAAACCCCATGGTCAATCCAAGTATTTCCAAACTTTAAAGGTTTAGTTGGAATTACAAAAGGAGAGTACCATTGCATTTGATTTGGACGACCATGCATTCTAAATCCATATTGGCAATGTTCATTGTGATCCTGGTCAATTATATTTTATTTTATTTTCTATTCATCATCTTTTGTGTGGTCTCAGCAACTGTTTTAAAACGTTCAGTTGGTCTTAAGACCTAAGTGATCTCTTCTGACTTTTTCCAAGAGCTGAAAATAGCTGCAGATGTCAGGCAGAAAGTGTTCATCAGGCCACATCTAACTTTTGTTGGTTGATTAATGATGAATTTGTCCAATGATAGCACAATAAGAGGAACTACACAGTAGGGAAGACAAGGAGGAAAAGAGTGAGGAAGAGGGTCAAGAGGTAAGAAAGAGGAGGGGAAGAAACATTTTCAGAGAAACTGATGAGAATAAACTTCCAAAATACATTCAAACATAATTCAATAAAAAATAAAAATAAATGAAACAGGGCTTCCTTGGTGGCACAGTGGTTGAGAGTCCGCCTGCCGATGCAGGTGACACGGGTTCGTGCCCCGGTCTGGGAAGATCCCACATGCCGCGGAGCGGCTGGGCCCATGAGCCACGGCCGCTGAGCCTGCGCGTCCGGAGCCTGTGCTCCATAAGGGGAAAGGCCACAACAGTGAGAGGCCCGTGTACCGCAAAAAAAAAAAAAAGAAAAAAAAAAGAAACAATACGTTTATGTCTTCTCTATTTTTGTTGTTTCCAGACTGATTTGAGAATCCTTCTGTAGGCTTTTCTGGACACACAGACTGTGCTCATGATATTCCCCACCTACATAGTCCGTGGGCACCAGCGTTTCATAAGTCACAAGCAAGAATCACATTCCTGTTTCTCATTTGGATGGCTCTAGGTAGAATTGGTGTACTTTACCTACCTCTGAAAAAGTGTCTGTGAGCCACTGTTCATTCATTTGCCTTTCAGTCATTCAGCAAATATTCAACCACTCAAAAAATATATATTAACTCAATAAATATTTACTTTTCAACAAATATTTACTGGATAAGGAATTCTAGGATAAACTTTAAAATGTGGACATTAAAAGAAATGTTAATAAATACTCGTAAAAACATGTGTGTAAACCCCTGCTTTGTTCTTAGAATGTATCAATAGAAGTTTTGAAAATATTCAGAAAAGCAAAGAAAATAAAATGAAAGGATTTTTATTATTTCTATAATTTTAAACTGCTTTTATATTGGATTCCCTAATGTGCAATAATACGTTGGGAGACAGTGGCAGGACATAGAAACAGCAGAAGAAAAATAATAGTGATAATATAGTCTAGATTTCTGTTCTAAGAATTTCAAAATTATCAATTTTCTCAGTGCACTAAACAATAGCTCTATATTCTGAGTTTTAAAACTCCCTGAAATGCTTAATTCATTCAACATTTCCTTTCAGCCTTTTGTATTGTCAAAATTCTTGGCAATATTTTCTTCTCTCTCCTCTCCTATCTGCAGAAGTCTGCAAAAATAATGTTGGTGT